TGCATTGAATATATAGACTGTTTTTGGAAAGAGTGCCATTTTTACTATGTTGATCCTACCTATCCAAGAGCATGGGAGATCTTTCCTTTTTCAGGCATATTCTTTAATTTCTTTCTTAAAAACTCAAAGAATACAGGTCTTTTACTTGTTTGGTTAGTGTTACTGTTTGTGCTGTTGGTTGCTGTTTGTGGCAATTGTAAAAGGTGATGTTTCTCTGATTTCTTTCTCAGCCCTATTATTGTCTATATAAAGTAGGGCTAGTGCGTTTTTTGAGTTGATTTTGTATCCTGCCACATTGCTGAAGATGTTTATCAGCTGTAGGATTTCACTGGTAGAATTTTTTGGGTCACTTATGTAAACTATCATATCATCTCCAAATAGTGAAAGTTTGACTTCTCCATTTCCAATTTGTATCCCCTTGATCTCCTTTTGTTTTCTTATTGCTTTAGCTAGAACTTCAAATACAATATTGAAGTGGTATGGTGAAAGCAGACAGACTTTTGTTGTTCCTGATTTTAGAGGAATCGTGTTGAGTTTCTCTCCATTTAGTTTGGTGTTGGTTGTTGGTTTGCTGTATATAGCCTTTATTATGTTTTGGTATGCTCCTGTTATCCCTGATCTCTCCAACATCTTTATCTGAACACATGAAGGAGTGTTCGATTTTGTCAAAGGCTTTTTCAGCATCTAGTGAGATGATCATGTTATTTTTGTGGCTGAGTTTGTTTATATGGTGGATTACATTGATGGATCTTCATATGTTGAACCATCCCTGCATCCCTGGGATGAAGTCCTACTTGATCATGGTGGGTGATTTCTCTGATGTTCTCAGATTCGATTTGCCAGGATTTTATTGAATATTTTTTGCATCAATGATCATGAGGGATATTGGTCTGTAGTTCTCTGTTGTAGTTGTGCCTTTGTGTGACTTGAGGACCAAGGTAAGTGTGGCTTCCTAAAAAGAGTTTGACAATTGCCCTTCTGCTTGTATTGTATGGAACACTTTGAAGAGTATTGGTATTAGCTGTTTTTTTGAATTTCTGGTAGAATTCTGTACTAAATCTGGGCCTGAGTTTTTTTTTTTGTTTGTTTGTTTGTTTGGGAGGCTTTTGATGAGTACTTGTATTTCATTAGGGACTATAGGTCTATTTAAATTGCTTATCTATTGTTGATTTAGTTTTGGCAAGTGGTATATATCCAGAAAATTGTCCATTTCCTTTAAAATTTCAAATTGTGTGGAGTACAGGTTTTCAAAGTATGAGCTGAAGGTTCTCTGGATTTCCTCAGTATCTGCTGTTATTTTCCCCTTTTCATTCTGATTTTGTTAATTTTCATACTCTCTGCCTTTTGGTTATTTTGCACAAAGGTTTGTCTATCTTGTTGATTTTCAAGAACCAACTGTTTGTTTCATTGATTCTTTGTATTGTTTTCTTTTTTATTGATTTCAGCCCTTAATTTGATTATTTCCTGGGGTCTACCTAGGGGCAAGAGTGGTGTGATGAAATCTCTCCCTATAATTTTGTGAAGTTTTATGAGTGATTTGAGTTTTAGTAATGTTTATTTTACAGATGTGGATCCCTTTCTAATTGTAGTATAGATGTTCAGAATTGAGAGGTCATCTTGATGGACTTTTCCTGTGATGATTATGAAATGACCTTCTTCATCTCTTTTGATTGATTTAGTTTGAAATCTAATTTGTTAGAAATTAGGATTGCTACACCTGTTTGTTTCTTGGGTCCATTTGATTGGAAAATGTTTTTCCAACCCTTATCTCTGAGGTATAGTCTTTCTTTGAAGTTGAGGTATGTTTCTTATATGCAGCAGAAGTATGGATTCTATATTTATATCCATTCTGTTAGCCTGTGTCTTTTTATAGGTGAGTTAAGACCATTAATTTTGAGGGATATTAATGACCATTGAAGGTTCATTCTTGTTTGCTTTCCATTTGTTGTTGTTGTTGGTATTATGTGTGGATTCCACCCCAACCCTGCTTTTTTCTTTTGGCTGTTGGTAAAGCAGGATTATGTGATGTCTATACTTTTCTAGTTGTAGTTAACTTCCTTGGGTTGGAGTTTTCCTTCCAGAACTTTCTGGAGGGCTGGGTTAGTAGATATGTATTGCTTAAGTCTGGTTTTGTCATGCAATATCTTGTTTTCTCCATCTATAGTGAATGAAAATTTTGCTGGGTATAGTATCCTGGGCTGGCATCCTTGGTCTTTTAGTGTTGGTAGAATATTTATCCAGGACCTTCTAGTTTTCAGAGTTTCCATGGAGAGTTCCAAGAAGATAGGTTTGCCTTTATGTTTCTTGACCATTTTCATTTGCTACTGTCAACATTTTCTTTATTCTGTATGTTCTATGTTTTGATTATTATGTGGCACCAGCACATTTTTGTGATCTACTCTATTTGGTGTTCTATAAGCTTCTTGTATTTTCATTGGCATTTCTTTCTTTAGGTTCGGAAAGTTTACTTCTGTGATTTTGTTGAATATGTTTTCTACATCTTTGAGGTCAGTTTATTCATCTTCTTCTATACCTATTATTCTTAGGCTTGACCATTTCATGGTGCCCCATATATCCTGGATATTTTGTTAGGGATTTGTTAGACCTAAGATTTTCTTTGGTTGATGAATCTATTTCTCCTAGTGTGTGGTTAATGCCTGAGATTCTCTCTTCAATTTCTTGTATTCTGTTGGTTATGGTTGCATCTGTAGTTCCTGATCGTTCACCCAGCTTTTCTATTTCCACCATTCCCTCATACTTTTTTTTATTGTCTCTATTTTAGCTTTCACTGTTTGAATTTTTTCCTGCACTTGTTTGTTGTTTTTTCTTGGCTTTCCTTGTTTTCTCTAAAGCAATTTGTTTATTTCTTGCCATTTTTGGTTTGTCTTTTCCTCCATTTCTTGAACTTTTTGTTTTTTTTCTTCCATTTCTTTAAGGGATTTTATCATTACCTGTCTGAGGGTATCCATCCTCATTATCAAGTTGGTTTTGGGGTCGTTCTCTTCTGCTTCATCTTTGTTGGGATGTTCAGGTCTTGCTGGTGTGGTGTCCCTAGACTCTGGTGGTGTCATATTGATCTTTTTGTTATTGACTGTGTTCTTATACTGTCATTTTACTATCCCTTTTTCCAGTGGGTACAGGTGGGGGTCTCTCCCTCTCCTAGTTGGTAGGGTTCCAAGGGTCTCTTCCAGTGGGTGCAAAGCAGGCCCAATACTCTGATGGCTCTCCTCTTCCTGTGGGTGGAGGCATGACTAGCACCTCCGTGCTGGCAGGCTCTGGATGGGCTCCTCTGTGTTCCCCCTTGTGCTCAGTCCCCAGGCCTCAGGAGGCTCCCTGCAGGGCACAGGAAGAAGGGCCAGAAAACTGGTCCTTTGGCCTTTTTCAGATATAAGAATGAAGTTGTGATGAAACATTAACTATTTGAACCATATCATTAATCTGGTCAGCTATCAAAACAGAACACAAAGCCCCATGCTTCTCTGATACTGCTTCTGTGTTATGAGTCAATCCCAATCTGGGTAGCCTGACAGTAAACTGGGATCATAGAGCTCAACAATGAAACAAACATGAAGTTCACCTTTCCTTCTATTTAGCTTTTATTAAAAGAAGTGCTAAGGTACTGAGATGTAGTACATCATATTTATTAACAAAATTATTAACAAATATACAAAACTTGTACATGTAATTCTCTTACATCCATTTCTTTTCTATAATCCTGGTTGTGTTCAAGTAGGTTACCTACAGTATGTAAACATCCCTTGGGTTGACTTTACACAGACTAGGAAAGCCCTCTAACCCATGCTTTTATCAGATACTTCTTTTTATTTGGCTTCCATTTGTTGCATCTAATCTCCACATTTGGCACACGGAAGAGACATCTACTGTGCAAAAGAGGCAGCCTTTCCAGTTTCTTTCTGACTTTTGCAGGGCCATAAATAGCTGAGAGGAGAGCAGTGCACTCTGACTCACTGACGTTGGATTAGCTATAATGCTGACTCTTGGTTCAGGTGTTAAACTTGAGCACAAGTCAATGCCTCTTCCTTCTCCCACCCTTCCCACCCATCCCCCATGCAAGGCCCAGTCAGTCTTAACCTTGTCTCAGAAGGGCTAAATGAAGTACCATCCATCTTAAAACAAGAAGGACAATTTCACTGTGGAATATTTTTCAGGGGTGTGTGTGTGTGTGTGTGTGTGTGTGTGTGTGTGTGTGTGTGTGTGTGTGTGTGTGTGTGTGTGTATTTCTGCACATCTGATGATCCGGAAAAACAATCTGAAATGGAGAATAAAGATAAAATAGGAGTTGTTCCCTGCTTTCAACTACCATCTCCCTAAAATGTCAAAGGCCTTGGTGAATAGTTAAAAAACAAAAACAAAACAAAAAACGTTGAGAAAAGGTAATTGGAGACTCTGCCCTCTTCTTCCTGGGTTTCCGTCTGATTATTTAACTTAGTCTAACCAAGTAAAGCTGATCCAGAGAGAGCCCCGCTAGGTCCAGTCACTCCCATCCTCACTGACCAGCACGATATTGCTCCTGTGGAGGCCACACCTCGTGCCCGAGAAAGCAGCCTTTTGAGAACGTCCCGATTTGGATGCGGCCGTCACCACACGGGCGCGGGCCCCTCCGACGCCCCGTAGAGTTCTGCGAGCTTCCGGAAGCGGGGCCCCCAGTCTGTGAGGAAGTCGAAACTCTGCTCCGAGTCCGAGGTGGCTGACTGCAGGGAGCTGAGCGAGCCGGCCACGGAGCCGTCGCCCTCGAACATGTAGGTCTGCAGGGAGTCGAAGGGCGGCGCCCACACGTCCATGTCGGCCTCGTAGAGCTTGGCCAGCACGTAGCTGTGGACCGTGCTGCTGACGGCGCACGTCTGAGGCACGTAGCGGGAGAGGCTCTCGATCTCGGAGAGCATGTCCTGCCGCGTCCTGGGGGCAGCGGCCGCCTGCGCCTCGCGCGGGTTCCACAGGGCCGCGATGTCGAAGGCCTCCGTGTCCTCCTCGCCGCCGCCCTCGTCGTCGTAGCGCACAATGTTCTCGTGGATGTTCTCGTCGTCGTCGATGATGTAGGGCTGCTTCCGGTGCCGCCTCATGGACAGGATGAGCAGCACCAGCACTGCCGGGGGACACAAAGAGGGGCGCATGGGTCAGTTCCCCAGGGACACTTGGTTGGTGATGGGGGCGGGGGACGGGAGGGGCGGGAAGGGTTCAGAGGGGCAGCCAGGTCAGCTCTGGGTAGTTCAGACCTCGGGGAGTGAACCGGTTCCGCCCGATCCTCACTCTCACCTGGTTACATTAAGAACTGGTGGGCCAGTGAGGCTTCGGATTTCTTCATTGCATTCATAAGAAGCTGCTTAGCTTCCTAGAAGCCTGCCCGCTCGAAACCGTGGTAGACACACGACCGAGCCGTTATGAAATCCCATTAAGGTAGGCTCCCGGCTGCAGAAGCTAGGCTTTGTGTGGATCAGATCATGCTCCCTGCTTATGGAATAATGGCTTTGGTATACGCTTACTATAATCTAAACATCTCGTGTAGGAATGTAGGAGCTCTGCCTTCTTGTAGGAGCATCTTTACAGGATTTTACTATTAAAAACAACTGTTTATCCACAAATAATGAATGTAGGCGCATGAGGTAGGTGTGAGCAAAAGTAATTGTGTTTTTTTTATGCCTCTTTCAGAAGCTGTGGACATTGTGGGACGGGGTTTATCAGACTCCGGATCTAACTGAGGAGCTTTGGAGAGTTGGTAGTTTCTGGCGTTTTCTTCAAGAGTTTGGCTCCTGGTAGGTTAACCCTGATCCTGTGGGTAGCTCCACGCTTGAGTATCTGGATGGCACAAATCGGAGTAGTTGGATATTTATTTATTTATTTATTTATTTATTTATTTTAAAAAGGACACAGAATTGGGAGTGGGGTAGGAATGTGGGTGGATCTAGGAGGAGTTTGGGGGTGAATATGATTAAGATACAATGTATGAAATTCTCAAAAATTAATAAAAATATTTTTAAAAGTATAAGTGACCTTTCAGGTTCAGTAATGTCGGATTACTATTTGTGATTTTTCCGGAGTCAGTGGTTTTTATGGAAGAGAAGGAATGAGTGGTGATGTTTTATATATTTCCATATGTTACCAAAGAAGTGCCATATAATTAGATGTGTCTTGAGGGTTTGAATAAAATTTTATTCCAACAAATGCATTTTTCCCTAGGTGTGTTCATTGGGGTTTAAAGGAGAGGGTGAGATAATCCCATTGAACTGTTTATCTTTGTAACTGAAAACATTTCCCAGGAAGTGTGTTGATGTTTCAGCTGTTGAAGTGCTATTGATTTTTTTTTCCTGGTGTGCTTTGTTACAGCCAGTGAACAGTGACAGTTTGACAGCAGTGCAAAATAAACCCCAGTTTATTCAAGGGTAGTGGCAATGATGGTGTATTTTCATCTGTGCACTAAGAGGTTACTGACTAAGAAAGCTCACAACAACAGATTAAAAGTTTTTGAAAAGTACAAATTGCAGTTAATGATGATAATACCTAATATTTTTGTGAATGTACTTAATTGGTGACAAAATGCATGCACAGAAAATAATGACATACACTTGACTATTTTCTCTGTGTAAAAAATAGGAGGCTTGGACAGGAACTGTGGGAAAAGAGATTAAGGGTTCTAATGAAGTGGATGGGAGGTTTGGACTTAGTGTGATAAACTGGAGCATGAATTGAATTTAAAATAGCATAGAAAAAATTGTTTCTAAATGAATATTCATATTTGTGAGATACAGTGAACATTAAACATATATTTTAAAAGGCTCTGATAAACAATGAGGAAACAACATTGATTATAACAATTATAACATGAACTTGTCCTTATGGAGTAGCAATGTTAATGAGATTAATGTTGATATAAAACAATAAAGGCTGCCTTTGGGTCACAACTGTTGCTAATAAAGTACAGAGGCAAGGCTACTGAATTCTGCCAGAAATACTGGGAAGGAAGTCACTCATGTCATGTGGTAATGATAATGGAAGTTATTTTAGAAGATACTGGGAAAGAAAATGAAAAAAGTTTTAAAGTGTCCAGGCATTTGTGTGTGTGTGTATGGCACATGCAAGTTTGTGTTTAGTTTCAGCTAATAGGGTGTTTGGGTCTGGAGCGTCATATAGCATAGGAGTTTGAGGCCAGTATGAGCAACATAGCAAGACACCATCTTAAAAAGAAAAATAACTCCAGCCAGGGAAGCCAAAGCCAACTTCGGCTTTTCACTTTGACCTCTTCTGCTTTCCTTCCAGATCCAATCCCCTAATATTACCCCAGCACTAAGCAGACCTCCAGCTGCAGCCTCCCTTCCTTCCCTTTCCACATTTCCAGTGGATCACACAGACCTTCCCCCTCCAACCTTCCTCCTCATCCCTCTTGCTTTATCCTAGCCTCCAACTGACGCATGCATTTCCTGGGAATACTCCAGGAAAGCCTGCCATCTAAGCAATTAGGCCATCTAAGATGGTGGGCAGGCTGAAGATCTTCACTTGCCCCTTTCTCTGCCAAAACCAACTGCATAGTCTTATCCCTAGCTCTTTCGCAGACCGCCTGTTGTGGCCTTTACTCCATCTCTATCCTGACCCAGGGAACTAAACAAATCCTGGTGGAACACCCTGCTATCCTCTCATCTGTGAACCCCTCAGCTTCAAACTCCTAGACCATTTCCATTCCTAAGAGTCAGTTCCTAGAAACACATTTTACCTGGAATCCCAGTGGCACACATGGCAGGATCCCAGAAGAATTCCCTGTCAGGCAACATACAACCAACACAGCCCCCATAAGAAACAGAGAAGGCAACAGAAACTAAGAGACAAAACACCCACCCAGCAAAGACAAGACCATATATCAGCACTCAGAATTACAATTATACCAAACCCAAATGCCTAGATTCCGGTGCAAAACACAGTAACAGCCAGGACAATATGTCTCCACTAGTGCCCAGCAATGCTACTACAATAGTCTGAAGAAAGACACTGAAGCACAAGACAAGGACCTTAAAATAACCCTTATAAATATTATCCTTCAGGAGGAAATGAATAAATCCCCTTTGTAAATTATTAAAACCACAAACAGTAGAAGGAAATGATTTGAAAATCCAAACTGAGGAAAACTGTAAATGAAAAATTTAGAAACTTGAACAGGAACGTCAGAGGCAAACATCACTAACAGAATATAAGATATGGAAGAGAAAATCTCAGATATTGAAGACAAGATAGAAGAAATGGATAGCTCAAACCAAACTTGAATCTAAAAATAAATAAATTAATTAATTAATTAATTAAATCTGGCACAAAACATCCAGGAAAGCTGGAATGCTATGAACAGACCAAATCTAAGAATAATAGAAATAAGAGGGAGGAGAAACACAGGACAAAGATGCAGGAAATAATTTCATCAAAATCATAGAAGAAAATTTCCTCCCAATCTAAAGAAGGAGTTGCCTATCAAGGATCAAGAAGCATACAGAACACCAAATAAACTAGACCAGAAAAGAAATTACCCTGAGCACATAACCAAAATACTAAATGTGCATAGGAAAGGGAGAAAGACCAAGTAACTTATAAAGGCAGTAGTGTTAGAATAACTCCCGCCTTCTCAATGGAAATTCTAAAAGCCAGAGGGGCCTAGATAGATGTCCTATAAACTAAAGAGATCACAGGTGCCAGCCTAGACTACTATACCCAGTAAAGCTTTCAGTCTGAATAGATGGAGAAAATGAGACAGTCAGGGATAAAACTAGATTTAAGCATTATCCATCTACAAATACAGTGCTACAGAAGGTGCTAGAAGTTCATCTTCAACATGAGGAGGTTAACACTAAAGAATACACAAGGAATAAATAACCCCAGACCAACAAATCAAGAGGGGAAGCACACAGATAACACACACACACACACACACACACACACACACACACCTATAAACCTACAAAATAACAGGAATCAACATTGCTCATTGATATTTCTCAACATCATTGATGTCAATTCCCCAATGAAACAACACAAGGTGAATGATAAAACAGAATCCTTTCTACATGAAGAAACACACATTAACATCAAAGATTGATACCACCTCAGGTAAAAGGATGGAAAAATATAATACAAGATGTAGCCTGGTATAGCCATTTTAATATCTGACAAAATAAACTTCAAACCAAAACTAATCAGAAGAGATAGGGAATGGCACTATATATTTGTGAAAGGTAAAATTCACCAAGAAGGCATAGCAATTTGTAACATATGTGCACCAAACATAAGGGCACCCAAGTTCATAAAAAAAAAACAAAAATCACTACTATAGGTTAAATCACATATTGATCTTCAGAGACTAGTCGTTGGAAACTTCTGTTCCTCAGTCTCACCAATAGACAGGTCTTTTAGACATAAACAGACATGCTGGATCTAACTGATATCATAAACCTGATGGATCTAACACACAGTGGAATATTGCAGAAGAAAATACATTCTTTTCAGCAGCTCATGACACTCTTTCTAATATTTACCACATACTCTGACACAAAATCTCAACATGGATTAAAACTGGATGTCAACAACAGAAACAACATAAAGTTTACAAACTCATGAAAACTGAACAACTCACTACTGAATTAAAAATCTGGGTCAAGACAGAAATCAAGAAAGAAATGAAAGACTTTCCCAATTGAATGAGGATGAATATACAACATACCCAAACTTATGGGACAATTAAGCCTGTTATAAGAGGCAAGTTCATAGTACTAAGTGCCTACATAAACAAAAAAATGGAGCGATCTCATACTAGTGAATTAACAACATACTGGAGAGTTCTAGAATGAAAAGACAAAACTACACCCCAAAGAAGTAGAGATCAAGAAATAATCAAACTCAGGGCTGATATAAACAACAACAAAAAACAAAGAATCAACAAAACAAAGAGTTGGTTCTTTGGGAAAATAAGATTGATTAGCCCTTATCCAAACTAACTAAAGGACACAGAAAATATGTAAATTACCAAGATTAGAGATGAAATTAAGACTAACAACAGACACCAAGGAAATTCAGAGAGTTATAAGGACATACCTTAAGAACATGTACTCCAACAGAAATCTAAAAGAAATGAATAATTTTCTCAATAGATACCATTTACAAAAGTTAAATTAAGATCAGATAAGCAACTTAAACAGACTATAATTCTTAGTGAAATAAAAGCAATAATCAAATCCTGCCAACCAATAAAAGTCTAAGGCCAGATGGTTTTAGAGTAGAATTCTATGAGACTTGCCAAGAAGTGCTAAGACCAATACTTCTAAAATTATTCCACAAAATGGACACAGAAGAAACATTAAACAATTTGTTTTACAAAGCCACATTTACCCTGACACTTGAACCACATAAAGACCAAACAAAGAATTACAAATCAGTTGAACTTTTGAACAGAGATACAGAAATTTTCAATAAAATACTTGCAAACTGAATCAAAGAACATATCAAAAAGTCATCTACTGTGATCAAGTTGGCTCCATCTCAGAAATTCAGATAGTTCATTATACTTAAATCAATGTAATCCACTATATAAATAAACTGAAAGATCTAAACTACAAGATCATCTCATTAGATGCAGAAAAGGCCTGTGACAAAGTTCAATACCCCTTCATGATAAAGAGCTCTGGAAAATTTAAGAATATAAAGGGCATACTTCAACATAATGAAAGCAGTTTATAGTTATCCCATAGGCCACATAAAAACAAATGGAGAGTAATTCAAAGAAATT